CCCCCCCCCCCGATCAACTGTGCTGAAAACCAGGAACCGGGTGTTCTAAAAAGTCAAGAAACCTCCAAGGGTAAGGGTAACAGCCAGATACCCTGTGTTGCTGACCGGTGGAGAAATTTAACTGCCCTGGCTGGCTCTCGACAAGATGGGAGCCTGTACGGTAGCATCTTCTTCTGCCCTTCACTGGCACTTTCCGGGGTTACAGATTCCATGGCACAGCAGCCGGCCTGTGCTGCGCCCTTGCTCAAANNAAAATGCCGATGGCCTCAGCAGGGCATCGCGGGGCCTACAGGGGAAAGCGGGGGTTGCTTTCAGAGAAGCGAAACTGAGAGATCTTGAGGGCTTTTTTTCCCCATGCCAAGGCCGGAACCTTCCTGCCCAGCAAACTTCCGATCTTCTTCACCTGGCAATTAAGCGCCCTTCCGACTGCGGCATGCGGAAATGCTGCGACCTCGACATCTCCTCAAATTTCAGGCTTCTTAGTTTAGGCCCCTCTCTCTCTCGCATGCTTTTTGTCCTCAAGGTACCCGCACCTCAGTCATATCCTTCTTGGGAATGTCGCTGTAGGACCTGAGCTGTGAGGCCCAGAACTCCCGACGTGCCCGCTAGCCCGGGTGCTACGGGCAAAGGGCGTACTTTGCAAGCTATGGAGAGAGTTGAAGAACGGTTCTTCCGAATCTCTAGAACCCCCAGCTTGAGGGCAGATGCAGGGAACCGAAGGGAAAAGATGTCCCATCCCGGGAATGCTCAGATTGCCGCGCTTTTTCCGCCTCCGGTGTCACGCAGGCCGGCAAGCACTTCCTGAGGTGTGGGGACTTTTAAGGCATTCGGAGTTTCGGCCTTTGACTTTCAGCCCACGGTTTTTGGATCGATGCCCCGGTAGAATTACTAGCCGAGACGGTGGGGTGAATGAATTCCCGTAAAACCTCAGTATAAAACACTCCAAACCCCGGAAACGCAGACCAGCTTCGAGATACCGACGCAAGAGCAGTTGAACTCTCCCACGATCCACTTCTCGTCCTGCACCGGGTTTGCTTCGCACTTGCGAAAAAAACTGGCGCTCCTGGCAGCACCGAACCGACGAGTTCATGTTGAACGGGTCCTTCTAGCCCGGTCCGAAGCAGCGGGGACAAAACAAAATTGGGAGAACTAAAGGCATTCGCACAAAAAGGGACGGCATGGTATGAGCAAAGGCCAGGAGATTGCCTTCGGGTCGGTGCCCGGGGGGGAGGAGTTGATGAAGTCCGATGTCCACCACAGTGGGATTGGCTCCTCAGTGCAAGGTTCAGCTCTCTCGGCTTGCTTCCCAATTCCAAAGCCTCAAGCGCCCAAGAGTGCTTTGAGCCTGAAAGAGGTTGTGCCTTAAGAGCTTTACGAGACAGCCTCCCAAGCCAATAAGACACGGTGCGTGGCCGTTGTTGTCTTGAGGCCGCAGCCAGCTATGGTTTCCAACACCGGAAAGGCAAAGCTGCTAGTCTGTCATGCTGCCCTGCAACGATCAATCCGAGACCGGCCACTCAGTAGGCCTAGCGCAGATCAAGACCCTGTCTCTCATGACAGGCGACCCACTAAAACATGCGATCCGTCAAAAAACCACAGTTGCTACCACCCCCCTCCCGCCCCCTTAACCACGTTGGCGACAGGAGTCGGACTCCAATCCCAGGCATGGCATGACCTTCGACCTGGGCTCCGAGGACGTGACTCCCTACGGCATAAAAACCTACAGGGACTCTGAGAGGCTTTCTGAGGTGACTTCAGCCTTTCTGCTGGCAAATTTCCCGGCACTTCGAGGACAGGTTTAGGACTGGCAGGCTCAGCGTCTACCATTGCCCCCAAACTGGAAAGCTCGGCAAAGCTGCATTATCCTGATGATCGCGTGATGCAGTATTCTACAGCATAAGGTGTCATATCGTATGCCTCAGGTGACAGAGTATCTGGGACTGCTTGGCGAGGGAACACCACAATCAACGGCTTTGCATGCCGTGATTCCTAGCTGCTCCGTTTCATGGCACTCCCGTTCAAGGCACAAAGGACGAGAGCCGACCGCCAATTCCCGAAGCACGGCGCTTCAACCCTCACAGCTCCGAAGGGGAACCCAGGCAACCCAGATCCGGTCCCTTGCCGGGGCACAGGTCGTCGGTTAGGAAACTCTTGGTCAAGCCGGCGAATTTCTTCTCCTCCCGGCTTTGCGGATTCGACGAGCCGATGGAGATGGAGAGAAAGAGAGAGAGAGACACGCACTGAGAGCCCCCGCCTTTGGACCGTAGAAGGTGTACACGGAACCGGTGCCGCCGACAGCGCTGATTCCACCTGCCAAAGCAACACACCAGCTTTCCACACGATGCTGGGCATCAAACATCCCTACAAGCATCGCAAAGTATCATGACATCTCGGGACTCTTTCGCTACATTTCGCTCCATGCTCTCCGGCCTTCCTTCGGCTTCTTGTGGATGATGCCAACCAAGGTATCCGCCACCTGAGTTCTCAGGAAGGGGGGGCCTCAGGGGGCCGAAAGGCCGCCACGGCACTTAGCCTCTGTAATTACATAGCATAGTTACTCCATGTGCTGAGGTGTACTGTAGTAGCTGACCTTGTGTCATG